CCTTCTCATCTCGCCTCTGGACAGGAGCTGCCCATTTAGTCTCATGTATCTACTTAAGCTAAGAAGCACACTCTTCACAAGTATCATTTTATGTCGCATAGTCCAGTCTAATCTTTCTCTGAAGAGTTGGCCTTGGGAATGGTTTTAGTTTTGGGCTAACAGAGAGTCTGGGGGCCATGTCTTCTGAGGTCCCTCCAGTCTCAATCAAACCATTAAGTCTGGTCTTTTTAGTAGAATTTGAGTTCTGCTCCCTACTTTTCTTCTGCTCTGTCAGGGACTCTCTGTTGTGTTCCCTGTTAGGGTGGTCATTGGTGGTAGCCAGGCACCATCTTGTTCTTCTGGTCTCAGGCTGATAGAGTCTCTAGTTTATGTTGCCCTTTGTGTCTCTTGGGCTAATACTTTCCTTGTGTCTGTGGTGTTCTCATTCTCCTTTACTTCAGGTGATTGGGACCAGTTGATGCATCTTAGATGGCCACTCACTAGCTTTTAAGACCCCAGACGCCACTCACCAAAGTAGGATGCAGAACATTTTCTTAATAAACTTTGTTATGCCAGTTGACCTAGATGTCCCCTGAAACCATGGTCCCCAGACCCTAGCCCCTGCTACTCTGTCCCTCAAAGTGTTTGGTTGTATTCAGGAAACTTCTTAGCTTTTGGTTTAGTCCATTTGTGCTGACTTGCCCTGTAGTGTCTGTTGTCCTTGCCTTCACCTAAGATAATTCTTGTCTACCATCTAGCTAGTGAATACCCCTCTTCCTCCCTCCCCACCCTCGTAACCATCAAAGAATGTTTTCTTCTGTGTTTAAACCTTTCCTTGAGTTCTTATAATAGTGGTCTTATACAGTATTTGTCCTTTTGTGACTGACTAAATTCACTCAGCATAATGCCTTCCAGATTCCTCCATGTTATGTTTCACGAATTCATCATTGTTCTTGATTGTTGCGTAGTATTCCATTGTATAAATATACCATAATTTCTTTATCCATTCATCCGTTGATGGACGCTTAGGTTGTTTCCATCTTTTTGCTATTGTGAACAGTGCTGAATGAACATGGGTGTGCATACATCTAGTTGTGTGATGGCTCTTATTTCTCTAGGATATATTCCAAGTAGTGGGATTGCTGGATCGTATGGTACTTCTATTTCTAGCTTTTTAAGGAAGCACCAAATCGATTTCCAAAGTAAAAGACCCTATTTCTAAACAAGGTCATGTTCACAGGTACCAGGGATTAGGACTTCAGCATATCTTTTTGGAGGACACAGTTCATAACAGATGGCAAAGAGTAAAGAAGACTAGAGTCACATAAATGCTAAGAGAAGTGCAAGGACTCAGGGCTGAAGTGGACAAGTATGTCCCAGAATGGGAGGTCAGGCCAGATCCCAAGTCCCCCTAAGACTCCATTGCACAGCGGTTAAAGGGATTAGTTATCTGTGGCCCACAACAGGAAGGGGCTTTCTCTGCATACAGGAGAGGGTCCTGGCTTCTCTTTTTTCTCTCATCCTTCCCTCTTCACGCCCACCTCACCCCCTCCCACCAGGTTTCCTCCGCTACTAGACCCCATTGCACTGCCCTTTTTGCCCTGAACAGTGGGTGTGAATTGGTCAGGTGAAGGAGCCCTGGGCCTGTTCTGGGTTGAGGGAGCCCAGAAAAGAACCAGGACTCACCCTTTAGGACCACCCCCCGCCCCACCAAGGATTCAGTTCAGTTTATCGAACATTCATTATGTGCCAAGCACTGTGCTAAGCCCCCTGAGATACTAATAAGACATGACTCTTGCCCTGAAGGAGCTCACAGGGCAAATAATGGCCATATTATGTGAAAATAGTAGGACTATGTCCTGGTTACAGAGGAGGCCCAGAGGAGGACACGTGCAGCTTTAAGGGGGTCAGGGAACCTTCCTAAGATGCTGGTTCTGTGTCTTGCAGGATGAGGATGGGGCAGTGGAAGGAGAAGCCCAGAGTTGTGAAATAAATCAGCACATTCAGGGAGCTGGAATTCTTTGGGAAAAGCTGGTGTGCAGAGCACACATGGGGCATGAATAGGAGGAGAGGAGGCAGGGAGGCTGTTCAGCCCAGGGGCTTGCTGCCCTGCTGCAGACTTCAGCCTTTATCTTACAAGGAATGGAGGCCGCTTAAGTGCTTTGCAGCAAAGGAACAGCAGCTTCAGACTGGTGTTTTTGGTGGATCCCCCTGGGTGTGATGTGGAGGAGGAATGGAAGGGGGAGACTGAGGCAGAGGGAGACCACCATCTGCAGCATGGCCTACTTGGCCTCTGAGGCTGCCTGGGGCTGGCAAGAGACCTGGGTGTCTCTGACTGGCCCAGCTTTGCTCGGTGTCATCTGGTACCTCAGATAGTCCAACCTCCAGAAAATGGCCCTTCACCCCTGTTCTATTTGTCCTCAATGATAAGTCTCTCACAGGTGTTGCAGGGGTCCCTTGCTCCTCTAGTCTGATGGCACCCCCTGCCTTGGGAGCCCTCAGGCAGGTCAGCTGTTTCCACTGGGAGAAATTCCACTGGGGAGGCAGCCAATTTCTTCTGGTGGCTTAAGGTGATTTCAACCTTCAGGGAAGCCTATGATGAAATCAGAGGACAGTTGGGGTGGGGCAGCAGCCTCTTACTTGTTTTTGTTGTTTACTGTGGTTGTATTGGAACCCTGGTGGTGCAGTGGTTAAGAGCTAGGCTGCTAACCAAAAGGTCAGCAGTGCGAATCCACCAGCCACTCCTTGGAAACCCTATGGGGCAGTTCTACTCTGTCCTACAGGGTCACTATGAGTCAGAATCGACTCAGTGGCAATGGGTTTGGTTTTTTTGGGTGGTGGAGTCAGCTCCAGACTCATGGCAGTCCCATGCACAGTGGAACGAAATGCTGTCCAGTCCTGCGCCATCCCCTTTATTGTCTGTGGATCGGACCGTTGTGATCCGAAGGGTTTTCAATGGCTGATTTTGGAAGTAGATCACCAAGCTTTTTTCTTCCTAGTCCATCTTAGTGTGGAAACTCTGCTGAACACTTGTTCAGTATCACAGCAACACGCCAAGCCCCCACTAACAGATGAGTGGTGGCTGTGCATGAAGTGCATTGGCCAGGAACTGAACCCTGGTCTCCTGCATGGAAGGCGGGAACTTTACCACTGAACCACCACTGCTTCATACCCTCTTACACACTAGTGGAAATGCATTTTATGTAGTCACAATGTTTACAATGCCAATGTCATTGAAGCTTCAGATTCAACAAGCACCTACCAAATATCTGTGTCAAGCACTGGGCTAGGGGCTTTCACATAGCCAAGGGGCTCCTAGCACCGGCTGGGAGTGAGTCTAGGGGAGGGTAGGTTCAAACCTCATCTCTGTGCCACTTACTGAGCTGCACAACCATAGGCTAGTTACTCTCAGTTTCTTCATTTGTTAAATGGGGAGAGGAACAGTACCTCTCTCTTAGGGTAAGGATGGAGATAATGTCTGCTAAGGGCTTAGTTCAGCACCTGGCAAATGGTGCTCAGCAAATGTTTGTTGGCCATCCTGGAACGTAGGCAGTGTGTATGCTGCAGTGTTACAGGTGTGAGAACTGAAGGGAGCACCTTGCCCGAGGCCACCCAGTTAGTGAGCAGAACGAGGGTTTCAAACCGGTTCATTCCGCTTTGAACCCCTGCTGAGAATTTATTATGAGAACCATAATTTATTGGCCTTAGTATTTCTAAGAAGTTCCCAGGTGTCTTAGTCATCTAGCACTGCTCTAACAGAAATACCACAAGTGGATGGATTTAGCAAAGAGAAGTTTATTCTCTCACAGTCCAGTAGGCTACAAGTCCAAATTCAGGGCATCAGCTCCAGGGGAATGCTTTCTCTGTTGGCTCTGGAGGAAGGTCCGTGTCATCAATCTTCTTTCGGCCTGGGAGCTTCTCTGCGCAGGAACCTCAGGTCCAAAGGACGCGCTCTGCTTCTGGCACTGCTTTCTTGGTGGTATGAGGTTCCCATGTGTCTCTGCTCACTTCTCTCTTTTATATCTCAAAAGAGATCGCATTAAGACACTATCTAATCTTGTCAACCTCATCAGTATAACCTCATCACGGTGGTAGAATTTACAACACATAAGGAGATCACATATAATCTCATCATAGTGATGGAGTTTACAACACATAAGGAGATCACATCAGATTACACAATCATACAACACTGGGAATCATGACCCAGCCAAGCTGACAGACATTTTTGGGAGATACAGCTTAATCCATGACACCAGGCAATGCTAATACTGCTGGTTAGGGACCAATTCTGAGAACCACTAGTTGAGCAGTGGTTCTCAAAATTTATTATACATAAGAATCACCTGAGGATATTTTAAAAATGTAGATTCTGATTCAGTATATCTGGGGTGGAAATGCAAATTCTCGGCAGGGGTTCTGACTGGAATGAACCAGTCTGAAGCCCTGGCAGAACCCAGGTCATTCCGGCCATCTCCAAAGCTCATGCTACTTCTGGACACATATTGCCCCTGTTGCTGCAGAGTCTTCTCTCTTTGACTTGTCTGCTTTCCATGCCACATAAAGATGAGACCCTTGTTTGCTGAGAGCCCTGTTCCTGAGTCAGGGGCTAGTCAGCTAAAGGACTGGGCTGCCCAGTGACTGTGTCTTCTATCTTTTCCCCTCCTGCACATCAGCTGGTCCTGGTTGCCAGGATTAGATTGCGCCTATGCCCCACTCCCCAGCATGATGACCCAGCCTTCCCTCTGTATCCCAAGCAAGCAGATCAGGTGCCCTATACTTCCTGAGGGGTTCCCTCTCTCTGCCACACCTAATGGTCCTTGTGACAGTGGGAACCTTGTATAGGGCCCAAGAGGTGGAAGGAGAAAAATCCATTCTTATTGAGGGCCATGAGAACACCATCTGGGACACACCTTGTGTCCACTCCTGGAAGGAGCACAGAGCAGAGAAGCAAAACCTCTCAAGCTGGGGATGCTGTGGTCCTTTGAAAATCCCATTTCTTTGCCCCCCTATGTCCCCAGGCCATGGAGAGCAAGCTGCTCATCGGGGGCAGAAACATCATGGATCATACCAATGAGCAGCAGAAGATGCTGGAACTGAAGAGGCAGGAGATCGCCGAGCAGGTGGGGCTACCAGGTCTCAGGTCCCCTGGGGACACATGGCCTTAAGGTCATGTCTCGGGGGGCACAGGCAGGGAGCCCTCATGAACTCAGGATCCTGGGACTATAGAGCTGAACCTAAGACATGCCCCCTTGGTTCCATGGGCCTTCCCCGCCCAGGGTCCTGGCAGGGGCACTGCAGGCTGTTAGGGAGAGGAAGTAGTGGCTCTCCATGATGTTGGCTTCCACAAGGTATCTGGGACTAATTACTGGGCCTTCCACAAGGGCAAGAGTTCTTGCCAACTGTATGACTATTTCCTAAATCATCAAGAACCATAATTTATTGGTCTTAGCAGTCAACCACGACACCAGATGGGGAGAGGGTGAAGCAGCCTGGAGGTATGTGGCTATCCGTATGTGTGGCTGACACCTATGAGGTTTGGGCCTCCATCCACATGGAGCAGTGCCTGGCAAAGGCAGGGCCATATGAGCTGAGAGGAGGGAGGGCTCACAGAGGTTCCACTTAGGATTGGATGGGAGCAGTGGACATGGACCATTGGAAGCCCCCTTCTCCCTCCTGGCACCTGTGGCCACAGTGAAGCCAGGTCTCATGACAGCAAAGTGAGCCAGCCCCCAAGCTCCCTTGGGCCTCCCCCAGTACGTGCTGCTCTGCTGAGGCCCTGTGCCCTGCCTTGGCCTAGAAACGCCGTGAGCGGGAAATGCAGCAGGAGATGATGCTCCGAGATGAGGAGACCATGGAGCTCCGGGGCACCTACACATCCCTGCAGCAGGAGGTGGAGGTCAAAACCAAGAAACTCAAGAAGGTGAGATACCTCAGCAGGATAGGGCCAAGGTGTGCTGATAGCTCGGCAACCCCTGCCCAAGCAGTCAGCCTCCTGAAGGCGTGTGCTTCAGGGACCCCTCCCCACTTTGCCTGAACTGCTGAACCCCTAAGCTGTAGTGCCTGGGCTGCTGGGATGAGGAATGGGAGTGGGAGTGGGGGTAGGGCTTTGGTATTGGGGGGCACAGAGCCTTTTCTACTGGGCAAGGCGGGGCCTGATAGGCTGGGAATGCTGGCACTTCCAGTCTCTACAGTGCCATCCTCATGGTCCTGAGAAACTTCCCCTTTACCGTGTCACCAGTGAGTAACAGCTTGGATGGCCGGGCTGCAGCAGGGCCAGGGGAGTAGAGGGCTGAGGAGGCCTGAGAAGGAGACTCAAGCCTGGGGGTGCTCAGGAAGGGAGCACAAACATCCTCGAGGACATGTCAATGGATGGGGACATCTGGTCACCAGGACCCTGGAAAGTCCCTGGCAGGGAAAGACATGTCCATGAGATGAAGGTCTAGGGCAGAAGTGGCATGTTCCAGTTCAGGTTCTGGGCAGAACCTGGAGAGCCTTGGGGTTGCCCACAGGGTTGGCCTGGAGCAGTCACACGATGGCAGTTACCATGGACACGCCTCTCAATGGGTCTTGAGTGGAACAGGAGGCTCAGTGCTGCCCTCCACACGCCACTTTTGAGAGGAATGGGATGGGTCACCTTCCAGACTCGCTTAGGCCCCCTTCTGGGACTCCCTGAGCCCTGGGTCTCCGAATGAGCCCTGGACCAGCAGTCCTGATAGTTGGGTCCTGGTTCTGGCTCTGCTGTTAACTAGTTGTATGACTTTGTGAAAGTCTCGGATTCAGTTTCCTTATCCGTAAAAAGAATGTGTCAGACCAAAAAGTCCGTCAGGTTCCTCCCAGTCCCAACATTATAGGATTTCATTGTCTAACAGCAGCTGGGAGAGTGTAGGTGACAGCAACAGGCCTTCGTGTTGGTGGGGTGGGGGTGGCCCTTGGAACAGCCCTGCCTGATTCAAGGTGGGGCAGCAGGAGGGAGGTCCAGACTCGGCCCCAGGCCTCTTCCTGGGCTGTGCTGGTGGCCCCTGAGGCTGCAGCCCTGAGGCCCAGGCTGGGTGACCGGTCTCTTGGCCACACTGTGCAGCCCCTGAACCTCACCTGTCTACACCCAGCTCTACGCCAAGCTGCAGGCGGTGAAGGCGGAGATCCAGGACCAGCATGACGAGTACATCCGTGTGCGGCAGGACCTGGAAGAGGCGCAGAATGAGCAGACCCGGGAACTCAAACTCAAGTATGCCTCCTGCTCTTCCCGTTGAGGGCCCTCACAGCCATCCCTCATTCCCCAGGCCCTCTCTCTGACAGACTCTTCTCCTATCTGAAGGCCTCATACTTGCCCATGAGTCCATATGTCTGAGGAACAAAACATGTCTGAAGGATGAGGGATAGCCCCAGTTCTCGAGTTTCTTCTACTGCCTCTACTTCCTTCTCCTTCCTCTCCTCTGCCTGTATTTGATGAACGCCCCCCTCCCCCACCCCATGCAGCTGAGTGCTGGCCAAAATTAACCCCTAAGGCCCTGCATTAATCTTTGCTTTAGATGCAGTGATTTCCAAGCTCCATTATTTCTGTAGGGACACTCCCCCTTCTTGGCGTTTCCACCTCCTGCGTTCCCTCTGCCTCTGCTTGTTGCTTCTAATCCTTCACCTTCACATACCATGTGGTCTCTCACTCCCAACTTCCCATCCCTGCCTCCTTCCTGCTCCCAGGTACCTAATCATTGAGAATTTTATCCCCCCTGAGGAGAAGAACAAGATCATGAACCGGCTTTTCCTGGACTGTGAGGAGGAGCAGTGGAAATTCCAGCCACTTGTGCCAGCTGGAGTGTGAGTCTGTTTGCCCAGTTGTTTGGGCCTAGGGACTCCGGTTGGGGGTGGTGAGGGGCCTGAGGCCCTGCCTGAGGGAAGACACAGGTGTTTTGTGGATTGGGGCGGGGGTTGTCAGGATGGGGGCAGATGGAAGGTGAATTTCTAAGGACCTAATTTCGAGTACCTAGGTAGTGCAAAGCATTAATGCATTCAGCTGCTAACTGTTAAGTCCTTCCAGAGGTGCCTTGGAAGAAAGGCCTGGCAGTCTACTTCCAAAAAATCAGCCATTTAAAACCCTGTGGAGCACAGTTCTACTCTGACACACACAGGGTTGCCATGAGTTGGAATCGACTCCATGACAACTAGTTTGAATTCGTAGAGGTCTCAGTGAAGGAAGAGTGCTCTGGAAAAAAAAACAAAGTATCTCATTGGCCTGAGACGCTGAATACCCTGAGGGACCTAAGGAGGGGAGGAAGAGATCTCAGCCTCTTGACCATCCCAGCGAATGCTAACGCTCAGCCAGTTCTCATGACTACTTATTTGTTGAGTGCCAAAAACAGCAACAACAATAGTATTTGCCAAGCCCCTGTTGTGTGCCTGGGCACTGTGCTAGACTCTGCAGACAGAAGGTGAAAAAGACCCAGACCCAGTCAGACCTTACAGTCTGGTGGGAACTACAGAGAAGTAATCACATCATGAAATGATAGAGGTGTGATCCAGTCTCCATAGCCTCACTGACTTGGTGTTTCAGCATTTCCACTTGTTTCTGTATCCTAGCCCTTAGGTGCAGTCTGCAGCACCCTCTGCTGGTGGCTGAAGACCCAGCCTGACTATTCAAGCCCAAAAGAGTGACTGCCTGCCTCACCCAACCCGACCACTGTCCCTTAATTGCAATCTGTATACAGAGGTGCTTAGGAGGCCAAACACTGATGCACTTCCCTGGAGACTCTTTGCTCTCTCTGACCTAGGATGTTAATGCCAAGATATGGCAGGAGTCTCCAAAACTGAGTGGGAAGCTAGCAGGACTCTCCTGCTTCTTACTGGAATATCAGATGCCTACTTAATCTGGCTACTTTCTGAAAGATTGATCCTAGGTCCAAGGTGATCACCATTTTTGTAAGTAACAGGTCATGAGCAGAGGAGATTGTCAGTGGTGTCTCCTTGGATTTACAGTCCACCTTTCCCGTCTACGTAGAGACCTGCACCATCTCATGCAGAGCTTCTCCGCTCTGGCTGCAGCTAGAATCACCCGTAAATTGGGCTCCTGAGAGTCTGATTTCTGATTTAAAGGGTCTTGGTAGAATCTAAGGAGCCCTGGTGGCACAGTGGTTAAAGCGCTCGACTGTTAACCAAAAGGGAGAAAGATATGGCAGTCTGATTATGTAAAGATGTACAGCCTTGGAAACTGTACAGGGCAGTTCTACTCTGTCCTATAGGGTCGCTATAAGTCGGAATCGACTCGACAGCAGTGGGTTTTTTGGTTTGGTGGTTGACAGGCCTTAATTTGTTTTTGCCAAAGCTTCCAGGTGTTTCTGCAATAAAGCCCGGCTTAAGAACCGCTGCTCCAGTGCCATCTGCTGGAGGCAGATGCTGGGAGTCTTCTGCTCCACTGGGTTATTTTGTGCTCAGTTCCTAAGCTGAACGTTTGCAGGTGGAGCAGTTTCTTTACATTGGATGCTGTAGCGTCATCAACATGTTCAGCTAGAGACAGAGACCCAGACTGAGAGAGGCCCTCAGAAGGCATGTGTTTGCTAACGTTTTCTTTTGAAACATAAGAATTGCAAGAAGAGTACAAACAATTCCTCTATACCCTTCACCAAAATTTATCAATAGTTAACATTTTGCCACATTTTGCTTTATTAATTTCTATCTCTCCCCTCCCTCTTCCCTCCCTCCTCCCTCCCTCTGTCCATCCCTCAAACATTTGAGATTAAGTTGCAGACATCCTGACCCTTTACCTATATTTCCTAAGAAGGAGGACATTCTCTTACATAACCACAGTACAGTGACCGAATTCAGGAAATTTTATATAGACACAATACGGTTATCATATAGATACTCTTTGATTTTTGTTAGTTATCCGAATAATGTCCTTTATGGCAATTTCCTCCCCCTCCCTACCCGTGATCATGTACTGCATTTAATTGTCAAGCCTCTTTAGTCTCCTTTAATCTAGAACTGAGAAGGACTCTTGATTTGAGCTTTGCAGTTTTGTGGGTCAGAGAAGTTTATTCATTTCTCAAAACATTGTCCCTGCAGTTTTGCAGTGAGCCAACTGCCTCAAGCATATGACCCAGACTCAAAGTGTGGTGTGTGCTGTGCTTGAAGCTAACATGTGCTTTCTGCTTGATCCTATGAAGTCCCATTTCTTATTTATACTTTTTTAAAGTTTATTTTCTTCCTTTTATATAGCTCTTACTTAAATTGCAAACGTAATATGTTTTGTTATGGAAAATTTAGATAAGCAGAAAGAATGAAAATTCTCTCCGTCTAGATAGAGGTAGCCTCTGCTAACATTTAGATATAAACTTTCTCCTTTTTTCTATGCATAGATAAACAATCCTTTTTTTTTCAAAAATGGCATCATACACTGAAAAACCATTCACAGGTTTTGTTTTTTTTTTTTTTTAACAATTAAAACAGCACTATCTTAAAATAAAATAAAAATTAAAAAAACCAAGCCTGTTGCCATGGAGTCGATTCCAACTCATAGCAACCCAAAAGCACAGAGTAGAACTGCCCCATAGGGTTTCCAAGGAGGAGCTGGTGAATTCGTACTGCCAACCTTTTGGTTAGCAGCCGAACTCTTAACCGCTGTGCCACCAGGGCCCCAAGGATATGAATCTTTAGGGAAGCAGACTGCCACATATTTCTCCCGCTGAGTGGCTGGTGGGTTCGAACCACCTAACTGCCGGTTGGCAGCCAAGTGCTTGATCACTGCGCCACCAGGACTCTTAAAATAGTACACTTTAAATCATTTTTAGAGTAGATGCCAGTAACAGCTATTAAAAAGAAAGAAGTCCTCCAAAATATGGAGGTCTTTCTTTACTGCTTGGAGCTCTGGTGGTGCAGTGGTTAAGAGCTCAGCTGCTAACCAAAAGGTTAGCAGTTCGAATCCACCAGCTGCTCCTTGGAAACCCCATGGGGTGGTTCTACTTTGTCCTATAGAGTTGCTTTGAGTTGGAATTGACTCAATGGAAACAGGTTCTTCACTGCTTAACTGTTGCCACTTCTAGTCTTTAGTCTCTTTTACCCTTGTCTACTGCTTTAACGGCAAATTTGTGCTCTTTTCCAGCACTTTTGTATGTATGAGGGAGGCCTTTTGGCAACAGTTCTGGGGATGGGCACATTAGAGCTTGATTTTTGCAGTGCTTTTTTTCCCACTTTCCCTCTCTTCTGTGGTTCCCTCCGATTCAGCATTTTCTGATCATGCCTTAAAAGCTTCTTGTTTCAGCCTACCTCTGTAGTGTTTCTTTTCTTTGGGAAGACTCGCTCCTGACACACCCCCATTGACTTACATCTGCGTCTAGCGCCCTCTTCAGCCTGCCTTTGCAGGTTCATGTTAGCAGCTCATTGAGCTGGATCCCAGTCCCTAAAGATTTTATTTGAAAGATTTGAAGATATAAATACATTTACAAATTTTTCTAAAATTATAGTTAAGTATATTCACAGCTTAGGAGTCCCTGGGTGGCACAGATGGGTAAGCACTCCACTACTGGCTGAAGGGTAGGTGGTTCGCACCCACCCAGAGGCGTCTCAGAAGACAGGGCTGATGATGTGCTTCTGATAGGTCATAGCCTTGAAAACCCTGCAGAGCAGGTCTACTGGAATTGACTCCGCGGCAACTAACAACAACAACAACACGGTTTAACCATGTTCTTTTATATAGAATACGCATGTATCTGTTAGAATACCCACAGATTATATATTTCAAATAGAAAATATTCAAACTATATCTGTTTAAGGGTAAAAGATTTAAGGCAATTATGACACACCAGTGTTCTGTATCACACTTAAATACAAATTATATAAACAGTTATTATAGACTGCTCTAAGAAAGAACTCCAAGGAGTAAATTACTTCAAAAAGACTTATTAGTAAATACTAGGGAACCAACTATATGCTATTCTGAATTACCACTGTATATATGCATATATTTTCTTTCTTTTTTTTTTTAATGTCACCGTCCAGTTGGCCATGCCTGATACTGCAATATTTAATACTTTTTTCAGAACGTAAAACATCAAAATGTGAAAAAGAAAACAAACATAAAAATGGATCTAGGATGTTTTTACATGAAACAAGTTTTTTTAATTACTTTTTTTATTTTTAAAGCAGTTGGTGGTTAGAATGAAGTAAAAACAATTCTGTCATACTTGGAATCTCAGTTGTGATTCTGACTCAGCAGAGAGCTGCTAGGGCAGCATCCTGGAGCAGGGAGTTGCTGGACCAGATCTCTGAGATTATTTGGCACAAGACCGTCATTTCATACAGAAAGCGGAGGGCCAGGGAGGCCCCTGGACGTAGCTTTCCCGGGGTCAGGGCATGGCAGGGTCTGAAGCTGCAGTTCAAGCTGCCTCACTGGGAGGAAAGATGCCATCCCTCAGCAGTGGAGCCCACCATTTGCAACATAACTTAATTAGGGCTCAAAGCACACAGAAAAGCCCTTTCTTCCCAAACCATATTTAACTAATCAGGGTATTGTTCCATTTGCTCAATTCAAGTGTGGAATATTTTGCTTTACTTTGGCCTGAGGTCTTCTGGGGATGAGAACACTGGAGGCTGCTCAAAGCAATTTCCTAACGTCATGCTGTCCTTTTAGGAAGCTCTTGCTTGAGAAAATGTTTTCTCTCCTTCTGCTCTAGCTACCAGGAGTCCCTGGGTGGCACAAACAGGTAAGCACTCAACTACTAGCTGATGGTTGGTGGCTGGAACCCACCCAGAGGCGCCTTGGAAGACAGGCCTGGCGATCTGCTTCTGAAAGGTCACAACCTTGAAAACCATGTGTAACAGTTCTA